TATGACAGTTTTAATCATATCATAACACTAAAAATCAGAATGTCAGCATCAGTACGCCTTAATTTAAGGTCAGACTCAGCACCGCATCATCATGGACGCTTTCTGACTGGTACAACCGACATAACTGCTGGAGCAGTGTTGGCAAACGTGAAAGATGCAAAATTACCAGTCGTCTACTTGTCATCTGAAAGCGCATCATCGAACAAGTTGATACCTTATGAACTGGTATCTGCTTTTTCGTGTTCATCGTCAGTGTCATTGATGCTTTTATTGAAAAGATATTGTAAACCATCGAGATTAAAACATCTTTTCCCTTAAACTCTCGCAAGTATTACACTTAAGTTTATGATTTCAACCTGCATTTTTTATTTCTAGCTTTCATTATTATAGTCGTATTCTGTTTTCGTGTTCCAGAGTTTTACATTCATTGGTGTGGTACGCATCCAGCGTTGTAGAGTCGCATTGATTTAGTGCTTTGAGGTGTAATCCAGAACCAATCGCAATTCTCATTTGCAGATAGTTTATCGAGCATTAAATGCTACACTCTGCATGTTTGTTCGTAAAGATGTGAGTTCGGATTTTCTACGTGAGCTCGATTCGATGCTCGGACCCGAATTAAGTTCGTTGGCATCAACAATCGCCGATGCTTATGGCACACAGTGTAAATCGACACCGAAAGGAGATACCGACTTCCATTTCATCTACTTCAACCCATCCAGTTTGAGTCTCAAAACAAGTTTCTTGGAACCAGTCGGTGAAATCAGCAAAACGTCTTCGTTACCTCCAATTCCACCCAATATCTGCATGTAAGTATGTTCGTCTAAAATTGTTTGAATTTCTTGAAAACGAACGCAAACAGTGGAATCAGTGGTTTTCTGGAAGAGTGTACTGGAAGGTCAACATTTTTTTCACTCGTAATAAAAGGTGAGAACGTTCACTGGTGACAATTTTCGGTATTCCCCAGTACCTTTCCCTGTTTCGTTCAACATTGCTGTTGAAATCGAA